GTTCTATAGTATTTCAACTTCTGGAATTAATTGTTATACCCTCTATTTCATCTGAAAGTGCAGTTTGATATCATATTTCCATCACTTCCATGTACAATACTTAGTCTTGATGCTATGGATATCAGTGGAGAGGAACACCTTGACATTGTATGTAATTTCATATCATTTCTTCCCTATTTTCATTAAATCAAAATCCAAACATTATCATGTTGATTCTCATTTCAGAAACATGATGTTTATAAAAAGCGACTTGATGCTTATGGTAATGTCATAGAGTCAAGACAAGATGGCATTGGAACTCCCAAGGTTAGTGACAAAATTTCCTCCTTCTTCTTCTTCTTCTTCTTCTTCTTCTTCTTCTTCTTCAAGTCTCAAAACTTGATTAAAAACAATATTTTTCTTACAAGTAACAGATTGAAAGGCCATTGCAAAAACATGGTGGAAGACTTCAACACAATGAAACATATTGTGGTTCATGTTTTGGTGCTGAATCAGTATGCTTCCAAACTATGCAATGATTTGGTATTTTGGTATTGATTTCTCTCAATGTTCCAAATTATATAATTTTACTTTTTTTTTTTTTTTTTTTTCTTTCTTTCTTTTTTAATTGTAGTCAGATAAGGAATGTTGCAACTCATGTGAAGATGTTCGTGAAGCATACAGAAAGAAAGGTTGGGCAATGTCAGATCCAGACATGATTGACCAGGTCAAATCTCTCTCCCTCTCTCTCTCTATATGTCTCTCTCTTCATCTCTCTCATTTACTTTTTACTTCATCAGTGCAAAAGGGAAGGATTCCTACAAAGAATCAAAGATGAACAAGGTGAAGGGTGTAATGTATACGGATTCTTGGATGTAAATAAAGTTGCTGGAAATTTCCATTTTGCCCCTGGAAAAAGCTTTCAACAATCACATATGCACGTCCATGATCTAAAAGCGTTTCAAAGAGACAGTTTTAATGTAAAGATATAAAATATAATCACAATTTATTATTATTATTATTATTACATTAAACTTTCATGTAATAATAATAATTAATAAATGACTCTTTTTAGCACAGATAAGTCACAGGATTATTCGTTTATCATATGGAGACTATTTTCCAGGTGTCGTAAATCCCCTTGATGGGTATGTATGTTAATGTTAATATGTTTGTCTTTTCTTAATTCATATTTAATTTTTTTTAATATATATTTATTTTTATTCAATTATTTTGATTTTGTAGTGTGAAATGGACACAAATAACCCCCACTGGAATGTATCAGTATTTTCTCAAGGTAGTACCAACCCTTTACACAGATGATAGTGGACACAGAATTCAATCAAATCAGGTTTTAATAATTTATAATATATATATTTTTTTTCTCTTTGAATAGGCAATGTAGTTTTATAATTAATTAACACAATTTTTTATATTTTTTTATATTTTTATATAGTTTTCAGTAACTGAACATTTCAAGGGAGCAGAAGTTGGGCGTCTTCAGACTCTTCCTGGAGTTTTCTTTTTTTACGAACTTTCACCTATCAAGGTTTTCTTGTTACAACATATAAAAAAAAAAAAAAAAAAGATTTTTTTTTTTTTTTATAAATTATATAGAAATGGTTTTTATTTATTTATTTATTTTGTAGGTTACTTTCACAGAGGAGCATGTTTCGTTTTTGCACTTTCTGACTAATGTTTGTGCGATTGTTGGAGGTAAAATTTCATTTCTTTTTTTTTGGATATTATGAAAGATTTCTCTCTTAGGGGTTGTTTTTATCTGACTTGTTTGAGGGCATTTAGGTATTTTCACTGTTTCGGGGATATTAGATGCGTTTATATATCATGGTCAAAAGGCTATTACAAAGAAGATGGAGATTGGAAAGTTTAATTGATGATGGAATTGGCTCATAAAAATGGCATTTTTTTGAGAAAGAGAAACAGATCCCCATGAAAGATTGTTTTTAAAAAAAAAAATTAGTTTGATTCCGGTTTATTACAATCGCTTTATTTATTTATTTATTGAAGGTAATAAAGTCGATGTAAAAATCTCATGGGTATAACAAATTCAATGTCAGCGGCTTCATTTTTTTTTTAATTATTATGATAAGTATATGATTTTTATAATATACATGCAATTGTAATTTGGTAAATACTATTAATGTTATGGGCTTATGGCGTATTTTTGTGGTATAAAGATGGCTATTGGAGCATATGTGGGTGCTTAAGGGCATATTGTATGCCAAAAGAGATGGTTATTAGTGGTGTGATACTTGAAAGAATCAAAACCAAATTTAAAATATGACGAATAAAAAATAAGCTATTTTAAATTGGTTTGGTGTTAAAGGGAAATAAACGACAACAAGATCCTACAATCCTATTAAAATGGGATAAGAAGAGGTGAATATGTTCGCAATGCTAAATCAATAAATCAAAGTTGGCTTAACTCTATAAAATGTAATCTTTAATTTCATTGGGCCTTGTTGTCACATAAGAGCCAGAGAGTGTGTGTTCCACTTTATTCAACCCGCCTTCATGTGATGGGTAACATCTATCTCCATGTCCCTTCCATGTGGATCATGGACCTTAAATACTTCAAATTATCAATTCATGGACCTTAAATACTTCAAATTATCAATTCGTCTAGGGTATGTTCCTCTATACTTGTATCTACTCATTCAACATTTTCTTCTACTCTAAGCACACAACACAACTTACACAACACAAACATTGTCTTAGGCCGAGTGGTATACCGAGCACGAGGACGTTCGTGGTTGAGCTAGCCACGAACAACAGACGTGCACACTACCCCGTTGCTTCGTGGTGGCTCGTGGTCGTTGTGTCTCGTGCTCGGCACAACGGAAACACACGCCCAATCAAATCGAAGCCTTCTATTTAAACGTTGCTATATCCGTTTGTAGCCGTTGAACGACTACTTTTTAAAAAAAATAAAAAATAATAAAAAAACAAATAATTAATTTACCTATAAATACCAAATTTTTACTTCTTTTTTTTACACCATTCTTTTCTTTCTCTATATACAAACTACAAACTACATCTTCACAACCAAAAATCATGGACCCCAACCAAAAATACCCCTCCAAACTACAGAAATCGCAAACCTGATAACACTTTCGCGTTAGATACAACACCTCGTCAATTCTTGACTATAGAGTCACCTCAAGGCGGGTTTATCAATCTACTTCAAACCGGTTCTCCTATCTAATAAACACCACTTTTCCAACAACATACCAACCTTTTCCGTCTTTCCAACATCAACAAATTTCACAACAATACCAACAATTATAACAATTCTAACAACTTCAACAACTCCAACAACAATCGTCACAACAACAACAACCACCAAGCTCACAACCGTCACTTTCGCCGGATTTTGTTGCGCAAACGCAACCTTCACCACCACCTCAACCAAAAAAGAAAAAAGGAAAAAAATCGGTCCGACCCACTGCCACCCAAGAAAGGGTCCCATGGACAAAAGAAGAAGAAGAAAAGTTAGTGGAGGCATGGGTGGCGGCTTCCGAAGATCCAATTGTAGGAGATAGTCAGCCTTACGAAAGTTTTCTACGAGTTAATGGAAAGTGAAACTCGAAACGCCGATCAAATTACGTCGAAATGGCGAGATATTCGACTAAAATGCACCGAGTTTGGAGGAATCTACAACAACCTCCTAAACATACGCAAAAGCGACTCGAACGATTTTGATGTTTTCAAGGCGACAATTGAGCAATTTGAAAAAACAACGCCAACATGCAAAGCTTTTCCGTATATGAAACCGTGGCTAAAATTGAAAGACGCCCCAAAATGGAAAGAGCAAACGAAAGGAACTTCACAGTCTTCCGGTTCAAATCGTTCGAGAAACCCCGATGCAAATTCCCAACAATCGGACGGCCGAACACACATCGACATCAACGACGATTCGCTAGATCTTGAAAACGACCAACCTCTTCGTAGGCCCGTTGGAAGAAAAAAAAAAAAGCGGTGGCAACATCTTCAAATTCTAGTGTTGTGGATATGTTTGGCGATAAATTTGATCGATATGTGAAACTTCAAGAAACGAAGGCCGATCTGATGACTCGGATAGAACAAAAAATATTGAAGCACAATCATAATTTCAAGAGGCACGAGAGGCGTTCCAAACAAAAACCAATATGTAAATCTTGAGGGCGAAGACTTGGAACTTCTCCAAGCGATAAAAGAGTCGGTTCGAGCCCGACGTAGGCGTAAGGGGTACTTTATTTTATTTATGGTTGGAATTTTTAGTTTTTTTAATGTTTTTTTTTTAATTTTTTTAATTTTAAGTAATGTAATTCTTATTTTTATTATTAGTTTTTTTTTCAATTAATGTAGTTTTTATTTAATGTAATTTGGTATTTTAATTTAATGGAAAAACTAGTATTAAAAAAAATGATTTTAATGTATTTTTGAATTAAATTAATATAAAAAATGAGAGGGGAGTGGTGTGTTAGTGGTAGGTATCTCATACTAGCGGTAGGAGAATGTGGCACCCACCACATATGTGTTGTGTGGTGGGTATAACGGATGGTCTTAGTAGTGTCGATGATTTAATACCTTCACTTCTAGTTCAAAACGTTCGAGAAACACCGATGCAAATTCCTAACAATCGGACGGTCGAACACACATCGACATCAACGACGATCCGCTAGATCTTGAAAACCACCAACCTCTTCGTAAGCCCGTTGGAAGAAAAAAAGAAAAAAAAAAAAAAAAGCGGTGGCAACATCTTTAAATTCTAGTGTTGTGGATATGTTTGGCAATAAATTTGATCGATATGTGAAACTTCAAGAAACGAAGGCTGATGTGATAACTCGGATGGAACAAAAAATGATTGAAGCACAATCATCATTTCAAGAGGCACGAGTGGCGTTCCAAACAAAAACCAATATGTAAATCTTGAGGGCGAAGACTTGGAACTTCTCCAAGCGATAAAAGAGTCGGTTCGAGCCCAACGTAGGCGTAAGGGGTAGTTTATTTTATTTATGGTTGGAATTTTTAGTTTTTTTAATGTTTTTTTTTTAATTTTTTTATTTTAACTAATGTAATTTTTATTTTTATTGTTAGTTTTTTTTTCAATTAATGTAGTTTTTATTTAATGTAATTTGGTATTTTAATTTAATGGAAAAACTAGTATTAAAAAAATGATTTTAATGTATTTTTGAATTAAATTTAAATAAAAAATGAAGGGGAGTGGTGTGTTAGTGGTACGTATCCCATACTAGTGGTAGGAGAATGTGGTGCTGACGTGACACCCACCATGTATGTGTTGTATGGTGGGTATAACGGATGGTCTTAGTAGTGTCGATAATTTAATGCATTCACTTCCAAATGTAGACTTCTAAGTGTCTAACCTAACATACAACTTCATCCTATTATCAAGCATCGAACATTGTCATCGGTAAAAAAAAATACACCACGACACTCATCTACGAGTCTTACTAGATATCTCATCGAAGATAACGCAAAGATATATAGGCTCAGAGTTGAATCCTGATAAAGCCTAATTTGTACATGGAACAACTTTGTGTCTCCAACTAGGTTTTCGACAGTGGTCATGGACCAAAAATGCATGTCTTAAATAATTTTCCATATCTCATTGGGAACCATCTTGCTTCTATAGTCCTTCAAATTAAATTTTGGGTTATATTGTCATGTCTTCTCTATGTTGATCAACATGATATGAAGATCTCTATTTATTTCTCTATAATTCTTCATAAGGTGTGTAAGTATGTGAATTTCCTTAGTCATTAACCTTCTTGGCATGAAATCAAATTGGTTTTCTAAAACAAATGTAATATAGTGCCACTTAGCTTCAAGAATTTTCTTCCAAATGTTCATGGTATGACTAAATAACTTAAAACATTAATAGTTCTTACATGTTTAAGCATCACCTGTGTTCTTAAAATTCGGAATCCAAATACAGTGTTAAAGAGGTTCGTTAGTCACCAACCTACCTCCTACTCAAGGCACTAGCATGCACTAATAGGAATTTGGTCTTAGATCGAAAATGAATTATATAAATAGCTAGGTTTAATCAGCTCAAATAAATGTTAATTCAAGAAGTTTTCGAGTTTAATTAGTTCAAATAAATGTTAATTAAGCGGAAAGTAGATTGCACCAAGACAAAATCGTTTGGGATATTAAGGTTGGATTAAGGTGTCTAAAGTCATAACTAAATTGGTATATTCTTGTAATTAAAAGCAAAATCCTTTTAAGGTTGATCTCATAGCTAGAATTGGTATAGAATGACATTTGGAGAAATAGAAAATAATTTATTAGTTTATTATGTAAATAATAAATTAATTTGAAATTGTAATAATTAATTAAGAATTAATCAAAATTGATTTGGAAAATAACTTTAGGTTAATTGGAATTAAATAAAGGTATAAATGCTAACCTGTAATTATCCAATAGCTGAACAAGAGGAAGGAATCCAGAACCTTCAAGGGTTGGACAGTTTTGAGGGATCCGTTAGAGTGATTTGGAAGCCTCTAATTGATATAAGGAAACTAGATATTCACTAATTTGAATTAATATTATTTTATGTTCAAATTTAGGGTTTATAGGGTTTCCATGAAACTATATACAGGGATGGATCCTTATAAAAGGCATCCATCACTTGTCACATAGAGAATCTATAAATCCTCTCCCTCCTCCTCTCTCCTCAATCGTCTTCTAGTTTCAAAGTTTTGGGTGTGAGCCTTGAGAGGCATCATACTTTTGGTGCTAAGCTTTCTGAAGATCAGAAAGGGAATCAAGTATATTGTTTACTATAACAATATCAAAGGTATGTAACCCTAACTAGCAATTCTTTATTCTATCATAGGGTTTATATAGTTTCATAAGTATGTTGTTATTATTGTGTAAAGACATAGATCCATTAGGTTGCATGTACCCTTAAGAGTTTAAGTGAATTTTTCCGTATATACATTAATTTTTTAACCTATAAATCCTATCAATGCTATCAAATCTTGGTCTTACAATTAAAAGTACATAATGGATGAAACCTGAAAAAACACAAAAAAAAAAAAAAAAAAAAAAAAATCGGAGGTTGCGCTGCGTTTTTCAAGATTTTTGGTTTTTGGTGTTTGGCTTGCCTAATACGATTATGGGGGTTATTTTGGTCATTGTCTGATATTTTAACTGTTAAAATT